AACCGTTCATGCAATTAACCTAATTCAAGTTTTGTGCAAAAACGCATGATCGCACCGGCTCGCCTGATGCGTTCCAGCCTGAGTTTTATTTTTGATTCTTGCCAGTACCATCAGGCACCAAATGAACAAGCTGAGAAAGTTACTCTCCTGGCTTTCCAGCTGCTTATCCAAATGAAATACAAAACCTAATCTAATGACGTTTTTATACTCTTCGATTTTAGGTTTATTTCAACAAAACTAAAAGCTTATGGTGCTGGGACGCAACTGTTTGCTCGCTGTGCTCAAAGAGACATTTCACTTTCAACAAATTTCTGCATTTATGCCTTGAATTGTTGCGATGAATAAAGAAATTTTGACGCTATGCCAAGTGCTCCTACTGTTTTCATGCGGTGAGCTAATCTTCGCACACTGGACAAGTTCCGGCTATCCAGATCTGCGTGGCCGAACTGTCACAAAGTGCGGCGTTGAAATTTCACCCGGAACACTGCTTTATGTGTGTGATCCTGATCATGTGCTCAATTCTTCCCAAGGTCATCTTTTTTGACTGCCCTTTTTTCAGTTTTTGAGATAGTTTGTTTTCCGGAAGCCACTAAAATGAACTGGATTACCAGAATAGCTCAAATGAGCTAGATTACCGGAATAGTTAACCGGAATAGTTGTACTGGCTGCGAGAGCTAGCTGAAACAGTGCAGTGCCTCATTTGCAGACAGCTGCTAAAAGCTTTGTTTTTCCCGGATTGACTAACCTAATTAATTTGGCATGCGGCGAAATTTTCTGCAACCACGATCTACCAGTAATGACTATGAAATATACTGCATAGTGCATCACGTCTGAAGGATTCTGGTACTTCTTTAGTATCTCTACTTCAGTCAGCCCTGGTCATCGCTACAATTGACAGCCTCTCCATTCCAGACTGTTTTGAACTTTCTACATTCACATAGTTCTCTGCAGGCATTCAGATGAATCTTTCCATCTTCTTGACTAATGCTCGCTTCCAGTGCGTGACACAGTTGAACAGTATTAGTATATTATTATTAATACTGCTGAAAATTGAACGGAATGTCTGATTTGTAGCACTAGTCAGCTGAGTACTTTGAACATTGTCGGGTTTGCAGCGCGGTCACTGAACGATCAGCTTCATAAGCTGGCAGTGGGAACGCCTTGTCACTGTCAGCGACGGTCGCAGTGCGCAACCGGTGAGGATGTGAACAGTCCATTTCATGGATTCGTTGCATCGGTTGCATTGGTCAACAACCTCCAGATGACCATACACAGTCCTTCTGAACAGTCAGCCTTTTTAATATAATTTTGCAAAAATGGAAAAAAATGGGGTGGTATGTGTCCACAGTTCCATAGTGTTAGCTTTCTAGCGTTTCTGGTTCTCGAGTTGAAGGCGGGTGAGAAAAATGCGAACGCACAGAAACATACACAGACAGGCTCTTGCTGGTATGCGTTTTTGCACTGCACAATGTGCAAAAATAATCGTGATTCGTTCAGTTATCGTGAAAAGAGATAAATTCCGATCGACGGGACATACTGCCTGGTTTGTTAACAGTGGGCAGGGCGCGAGCTTCACGTATCATCTAGTAACGCTTGTGAAGGAGAAATATTTTTGTGGATGGCATTTTAAGACATGACCAACGGGTAGAACTGGATTCATGCAACTCGGGAAAACAAAATTTGTCAAAAATGCCCCTGACGTATTAGAGCATGCCATTAGTATCAAAGCTACGCTAATCGAAGACCAGAGCGATATTGATGATCAGGATTAGCATGAAATTAAATGGAAGCAGCGCTTCAGTGCACAATGTTAGCAAAGCACGGCGTAATGTCCAGTATTCACATATGTAAATTTATTTTCCTGGTTTGTAATACTAAATCACTAGCACATAGTTCATCAAGTGATTAACATTGGTCAGTGCATTTCTGAGAAGGAAACTGTCCTCAGCTGCGTTCGTTTTCCCGCTTTCTTCTTTCATTCTTCTGGGGAAGTGCTCGTCCTCCGCCGTTTTCATGCAACAGATTCATGTGTTTGCTTATGATTTCTTTACATCTTATTTCCGATTAGATCGTTCTCACTTTAGTCCCAGTCTTGATGATGATTCTACTTTTTCCACTCTACATCGTTAACGCATTTCTTCAAATTTTGCATTATTTTGGTGAATTTAAAAAAAGAAAAATTGTAGACAATTAACAGATCGAGCGGAAGGGTTTTGCCGCACACTGGAAGGGCGATGGGCTTTGGGCGACTGTGGTAATTCAGTGCTGATCTTCGTATGGAAACACTACAAAAAGGTTCGACGTTTCTGCAGTGCTGTGATACAGGCATTAAAAAAGAGCTGTTATTAAACGTCTCCCTTATTTGCATCTTTTGAAAAAAATTGGACAATTTGATGTGCTGAATATTAGTTTTAGATTTTTTGACCCAAACTTTTCTTCCCTCGGCTGTTACGTAATGTTAAAATCCAGAAATCTTACAGACCAAAGATCTAGCTGTGCTAGAAGAGCCACATTTTGCACGTATTATTGCGTTTTGTTTGTGTTTGTAAAAAAATTGAGTCAGCTTTTGGCATGAAAAAGATAGCATAATGAAAAGCAGATTACTGAATGGTGTCTGGGCGATGTTAATTGAACAATAGAAGGGCTTCTGATGAGGTAGAATGGTTTATTTGAGTGCATGATGGAATTTTCGGATGAGGCTAATTCACAATAAAGCGGAATAAAGAACAGTTAGTTGAATCAGTGGCGAGAACAAAGTGCAGCGGTAAAAGAACTGTTGAAGTTTTTCATAAATTGCAAAAATTCATAAAGCTGGTCTTTCCAGATGATCATCTGGCCGGCTCGACTTGCTCATCGCTATGTCACGGCAGGTGAACGACGCCGAATTTTGGATGATGTAAACACGCTTGTTCAGAATGATAAATGGTACGAGGCGCTTACACGGGTCATTGGTACGCGTTATAAAAATAGTGCCGGGTGAAAATTCGATGGGTTTTTATGCGTTTTTGCACAATATGCAAATGCAAAAACGCATATTGCGACGACCCTGTGTGTGTATGTGTGT